ATTTTGATATTAGAATATGTAAATCTTTATCAAACTAACATTCAAACCCTTATTTGACAAATGACAACTTAAATGCCAACTAAAAATTGCAAATAATCTTTATGAAAACAAGGCCTACAAATTGACAACACATAAAATATCTAAATACAATACAAATAATAATATAACAATATAATCTTAATAATCATAAAATAAAAAAATGGGGTTGGGGCAAGACCATAGAGCTGAGGAGTATTCCCATCACTCTCTGGGAAAATTTCTATCCTTACCTAATGCTACCCCATATGATATACATGATTGTATGTATATCACAAAATATTAGTACCTTAAATATTCAATAATCAAATTAGCAAAAATGATTTGAAAGTGAATTTTGAATAATTCTAAATTTTACTTAATAGTTAAAGAAAATCAAAACCTTCAAATTATGTCGGTGATACTTCACGATTATCATCTTTCTATTTTTACCAGTCTAATCAATCACACCTAATTTCGTCAGTGATTTCATATTTGATCTATATGCATGGGTTTTTGTTTTTATTGTCATGTTTTCATTATCTTTGGGGTGAAAGAAGTGGTCCAATTTCATGCAACAGTTTGATGGAAATTTTAATTTGATTTGTTCAATTCTTCGAGTGTGGACCATTTACTTCAAATCGCCATTATTGATTGAAGCATGCAATAGCTCTTTGGAATTATTAACTTTAAAAAAAAAAAAAAAAACAAAATTCAACAAATTAAAGGAAGGCAAGCAAACAACGTAAGTGCCATGGTACGTACGGTGTCAACTTTTATTCGTAATTAGTTATTTGAAAATGAGAGTTAATAACAGCCTAACACATGGTTGATCTACTATTCAACCTCCTTTATTATTGTTTTGAGGTAACAACTTGTACGAGACTGGCTCGTAGATTATTGTCCGTTATATTAAATCAGGATTAAAATATTTAAGGAAAATGTCACTTTTTCTCCCTAAATTATATACTTATAATATTTTTCTCCCTCAATTATTTATGTAAGCACATTAGCCCCTCAATTATTTTAAAAGTGGTGGTTTTTCCTCCAAATATATTAAATTGACATTTCTACCCTTAAAGCAAACATTTTATTTATTTTACTTCTCCAACAAATTATTGCGTATATGTAGCGATTACCACGGTTCGGTTCCAACTGAACCAGATACTATAGCAATCGAATTAAAAGTTTTCAGTTATGATTCAGATCTAGAACCCAATATTTGGATTTCAATTTATTAAATTTAAGAATAAAAAAAAAAACTGGATCATGAACCGTGAACCGGCGGTTCCGGATCCAGTTCGCGATTTTGAACCGTCTTTATTTTAAAATTTTATTTTTTATTTTAAAATAGTCTAAATTCAACAATAAATGTATTTTATTTTTTCAGTTCGGAACATGAACCGGCCATTCCGGTTCGCGATTTTAATAAACTCTAAATATCGCGTTTTGATTATAAATTGTAATTGAAATATTTTGGTTTGTTTGCTATAGTATCTGTTTGGTTTGAACCAAATTATAGTAATAATTTGTTGGAGAATAAAAATAAATGAAATATTAATTTTAAATATTTATTTGAAGGGTAAATATGTCAATTTAACATTTCAGGGGGAAAAAGAGCCACTTAATATGTGATTACATTTTTGTAATTTTGTGCACCATGTATATTTCCGTTGTGCATTAAGCATTGGTATGTGGGGCACTAAGCCATGGTTTGTGGGTGCCCCACCAAGTGGCTAAAAAAATGTGGTGGGTTTAATAGAGTTGTTGAGTAATACCGTTGAAACAGCGGGTCTATTGAATCCGTTGACAAGTTTATTGAGCTCGTTGATATACCCGTGACCAATGGGTTTGACACCCCCGTTGAATGGTGCACTAAGGGAGGTTTGTGGTGCACTAATGGTCGGTCTGTGGCGCATAAGTGAATACTTGATGGTGCATTGGATTCAAAGTATCACATTTTTTATTGAGCTATCAAAACGGGCACAACCCGCCAAGTTGAACTCGTTTAACCCCGTGTTTTAGGCGAGCTGGGTATGATAAATCACAACCTAATAACCCGCATTCAAATCGGCCCATTTAATCCATATCAAATCCGAGTTATACGGGTTGGCTCGTGTAACCCACGGTCCAATCCGTACCCCACCCTCATATTTATCTAAATTTATTTTGTGTAATTGGAATTTGTACTAGTATTTAAAAATGTTATTTATTACAAATATCAAACCCTTAAGCTTTCAACTAATCTAATACTATTGAAACCACTATGCTGAGGACACTTCTTAAACACTAAATATTATAATTATATATTAAAATTAAAATCTAATTTTGTGTGTGTATTGTATCAAATAAGAAGAGAAATAAGAACTCATCTCAGCTTTACATTTGGAAAAATCGGATGAATCTAATTAATTTTTTTTTTTTAATTGCGGTAGTGTTAACTCTTAACTTAGAGGTTAAAAGGGATGTATTCAATAATGAATTTTGTAGACTTTGAAAGACTTCTAAAATGATAGATTTTAATAAACTTTGATTGACTTTTATAGAGTCGTTCAAAACTTTTTAAAACTTTGTAAGACTCTATAAAAGTCCATTTAAAAAAAAAACATTCATAAACTTTTATCAACTTTTTTTTTTTATTTAAAAAAGTCTACAAAAGTCTTTGAAATTCTAAATTTAATACATCCTTACAAACTTTCAATGGTTCGATTCTTATCATTTATAATTTTCTTACAAAACATATATGTTATAATATATCATAAAATTCTTATTATTATATAGTTCTTCACTCACATCAACATTCTCAACATTATTATTTTTATCGACCTATATGCTAACTACTTATATATTATTAATAACTATCGATAAAAAAAAATATTTCATAAAAAATTCATAACAATATTGAACATTAAAAATTATAGTAACAGAATTGTTCAAATAAAATATTTAAAAATAGAATATTAATGATATATATATATATATATATATATATATATATATATATATATATATAGAGAGAGAGAGAGAGAGAGAGAGAGAGAGAATTACATTCAGGTAAAATCACAACTTAAAATACAAACATGTGGATTAAATGAGGCCGTTAGATCTTAAGTTGGATGGCTTGGATCTGCGCATGATATGTGTGGGTTTGTAGTGTTATTTTATTAAGTTTTTATGTTTAAGAGGGTAAATATGGTATTTGTCTATTGTAGAAACCTAGTCAGATAAGTCTTACAATTCCACGCGTGTGTGCACGCTAAACTCTAACTGTGTGCACGGGTTCAAAATCGCATGCTTCGTCGTCCATTCACTGCCCTAAGAATGTATTACCATGTATGTTTATTTATTTTTCCAGCCGTATGGGGATTTCTAATGTGTGCACGATCGTCTCTAATTGTGTGCACAGGTTCAAAATTGAATTCTTCGTCGTTCATTCTCTACCCTAAGAATGTATTACCGTGTATGTTTGTTTTTTTAGCCGTATGGGGGTTTCTATTGTGTGCACGCTAGTCTCTAACTGTGTGCATGGGTTCGAAATTGCATTCTTCGTCATTTATTCAATGCCCTAGGAATGTATTACTGTGTATGTTTGGTTTGTTCATGCATATGGGGTTTTTGTATGGGCTGGCCTGGCTTGTTTTGACACCTCTAATTTTTTTCATTTTTATTAATTTCAAGCTGTTGATTTAAGCTCATCCAATGGTTGCGATATCCTCACATGTCTGTATGGGAGGAGGCAACCGCACTAGAACCAGACCCTATGTATGTGTATATGTATATATTATATATTTTTATATTTTTTAAAATAAATAAATAATTAATTAATTATTTTGATTCACATTCATATTTACTATCAAACAAAGTAATTCTTCCTACTTAAACTTATTACCATTACTAAGTATTTGATTCTCATTATTATTCTGATTCCAATGTTTGAACGAAACACTCCCTAAGCTAGTGTTTGGTAACTTATAAATTCAAACTTTCATGATAATTTAAAAGTAGTAACATTATTCTCACGCTTGGTGTAATTTTTTACTTAAAAAAAGTTTGAGTAAATTAGGATTCTAATTTAAAAAAAAAAAAAAAAAAGTAAATCCTGTCTACAGCCGCCAGCATGTACTATTCTTTTTTCCAATACCTCTTTGGAATTATTAAATTTTTAACGAAATTCAACAAATTAACGGAAGGGAAGCAAACAACGCAAGTCCCATGGTACATACGGTGTCAACTTTTCTCGTAATCACTTCTATGAAAATGAGAGTTAATAGCAGCCTAACACATGGTTGATTCACCATTCAACCTCCTTTACTATATATTATTTATCTTAAATATGTTAATATATAGGTGCTTTATAAACTAGCTTCCTAGTATTATTTAGAACAAATTGCACTTTTGGTCCTATGACTATTAGGGTACTGATAATTTGAATACGTGACTTTCAAAACTCTCAATTTAAACCTTTAACTATGTAATTATTAGCAAATTTGGTCCTGCCGGCCAATTTTGGCCGGAAAAATTAAAACTATTTTTAATTATTTAATTATGAGGGCAAATTGGTCATTTTAGAGTCTTCTTCTTCACTTCCTTCAGATATTGGGAGTTCTTCGTCTTCCTTCATGCAACGACGATCGGAAAAGAAAAAAATGAGAGGTAGAAGTCGAAGCCAGAGTCGGAATAAACATGGTGACCATATGGACGCTTGCGCCGCCAAAAGTCTCAACCAGAGCCACTCGAAGTCGAAGCCGGCGAAGAAGCTGAGCCCGACGGCGACCGGCATTCCGACGAGGCAGAGAAGCCCGACGTGCTTGCTTTCCCTCTGATCACGTTGAGATCTAACCTCGGTATTCTTCGATTCCATATAATTGGTTGAAGACGAGAATACATATGTAAAAAATCATTGTCTTAAAAATAATATAAAAATGTAAGATATATGTTGATGATAACAATGGCCCTCGGGCCTCGACTAGGCATTTATTACTCGATCAAAACAAAGCAACTAACACGATAATGTCAACCGTTATAGACCATACGAAGTTAAGGATAGCAGTGGCGGTAGTGGATGACGGAGACGGCGGAGGCATGGCGATTGAAGGCGAGGGAGCGGCGGCGACGGCGGCACTGGACACCGGAGAAGCGGCGGAAACAGGGGACGACTCAGCTTCTGCGGCGGAGGAAGGCGATGGCGATGGAGTCGCAACGAGAGGAGCGGGAACTGGGGTCGGTGGCTCCGCGGCGGAATACGGCGATGGAGTGGCGGCAAAACTCAGTGCAGGGGATTGAGCAACGGATGAGGCGACTAATAGTGCCACAAGAAACATTACCAGAAACTTGGAAAAAGCCATTGATGACCGTCGAGAGGAAACTATTTATTCCGACTCTGGCTTCGACTTCTACCTCCCATTTTTTTCTTTTCCGATCGTCGTTGCAAGAAGGAAGACGAAGAACTCCCAATATCTGAAGGAAGTGAAGAAGAAGACTCTAAAATGACCAATTTGCCCTCATAATTAAATAATTAAAAATAGTTTTAATTTTTCCGGCCAAAAGTGGCAGGTAATTTGTCCGGCAGGACCAAATCTGCTAATAATTACATAGTTAAAGGTTTAAATTGAGAGTTTTGAAAGTCACGTACTCAAATTATCAGTACCCTAATAGTCACAGGACCAAAAGTGCAATTTGTTCTATTATTTACCAAAATTTGTATCTTCAAGGACGGATTCACGGTGGGGCCACTTGCCCCCTTCTCTTCCCTCACTTCTCACCCTATCTCTATATATATTGTGTTTGGTTCACAAGATGAATTTTGAAAGAATAAGGATACTATTCCATAAGGAATGAAATAGATAAGGAATAAAATATAAATTATATTTTTTGTGTGGTTCACTAACGAGGCATTTGGTTGAAGCGAGGGAATTATGTGAGAAATGAATTACAATTTCATGGGAGATGAATTATTGGGAAAAAAGTAAGAATTTAAATTTCAATGTTTCGTTTACAGGAAAGAATTACTGGCCTTGGAATTTCAATTCCAATGTTTGGTATACATGGAAATTGAAAGGAAATAAGTAGTATAAAGTCCAAAATGCACATTGTTGTTGTAGTTATTATTAGTATTATTATTATTATTATTATTATTATTATTATTAAATTAACGCCATTCATAATGCAAATTATAGTTGTTGTACATGAAATTATAAACAATGCAAATTTTCATTCATTATTGTATAGATTCATTCACTATTATAATCAAAATTAAGAAACACACAACTGATGAGATTCACTATTGCATATATTCATTCACTATTATAAACAAACACACCATCCACGCTATATACACATTAAATTAAAATACTTGAGAGTTTTGAGAAAACATACTTAATTAAGGTTGACCTAAAAATCTAAAATGATATTGTTCAGGAACGACGTTCTTTATGTTGATTGAAGAATAATACGCGGCTATCATCTAGAAGGAAAGGTCAGGCAAGTAAAGTCACTTACAAGTGCAAGTAATTTACCTTGTTAACATTCGTGCACGTAGGTGTCTTTAATGATAACGTTAGGTGCACTTAATATTGATGTTCAGTGTACACTTTACTTGCACTTAGGTGTACTATATGAAACTGCCACTTACACTTGTAATACATTATACTTGCACTTCGATGTTCAATTATTTACAAAAATATCGCCACATTTTTAAAAAAATTTAGTGTTTCTGATCCGTTAGATCTACACACGTGGACGAATGTCATGCGTTCTCTTGCAAAGCAAATAGCTCATTCCTAGGAATGCTATTACCATTTACCATGACAAAATGACCAAAATAAACAATGAAATATGCTTATTCACAAGAATGTTATTGTATTCCTGACCTATTCCATGAACCAAACATGCTAATAGTAAATAGTCCCTTGTGTGTATCAGTGTATGTATATATATAATACATGTTTAAATATAAATTTGTCAAGAAATTTATCTTGCATTTTTAGATAGATAACAACTTTCAAATTCTTTATTTTAACGTCACTTTCTTTTCTGTTCAAGCTAGTTTTAGATTATTATTATCACCACATCGTCGCCGCCACAACTATCACCACCACCACCCTCACAACCATGACCACCACTAAACTAACACCATGTACCACCATCACACCATCGCCAATTCCACCACCACCACCATTTTTCAAAAAATGTCTTCCTAAATTTTTAGTCAAAAGATATTTTTTGGATTGTATATTTTCTTACTTGTGTCAGCTTTCTTCATGCTAGTTTTTATATTATTATTACCACCTGTCACATCTCTCTTCATTGTTATTATTATTATCACCGGTTCACCATAACTATCACCATTATTATTATTATTATTATTATTATTATTATTATTATTATTACTCCCTCCGTCCCGAATTGCTTGTTACATTTGTTTTTTGCGTGATTTTTAATGCAACAAAATAAATATTACTAACTTCTCAATTTTACCCCTCAAAAGTAGGTGTCATTAATTGTCTAGAAATTTGAAAAAGTGAAAATAGTAAATTGAGAAATGTAAAATTATTCATGTTCAATTTTGAAAATAGGACATTATTTTGGGACAAAGTAAAAAAGTAAAGTAAGACGAATAAAATGAGACGGAAAGAGTATTTAATAACAAAAATACGTTCATTTTTAGAAAAATGAATCAAATAAAAAAAATGTAATTTTTTTTTTTTTTTTTTTTACTTTCAACCAAACAAAAAAAGAAAAGATAGTTTCCTGTATTAGTATATTGAGTTAGTAGGTTTGACTATTTGATATCATTAACTAATTATAGAAAGATGTTTGGTAAATTAGATATAACTGATTACATGAAAAATGATTTTCTCAAAAAAACTGATATGAAAAAAAAAAAAAACTACTTTGAGCAGCCTTTTGAATTTTAACATTTTGGAGTAATAAGTTGTTATAAAAAGTTAATTAATCAAACACTCATATGAGCTGTTTAACCAAGTCAAACAGCTAATAATAGTAGGTAAAAATAAATAAAATTGACTTATAAACTAACTATGTTACTAAACCAGGCCTAAACTAAACAAACATGCAACCTTAAGAAACAGCAGAATGCACTTAAGACTGCTGCAGTGTCGGACAGATTGCATCATTGTATTTACCTTTGAAAAGCAGGCTATAATTTGAGAGTTCAAAATCATCGATCATCTTCTTCTTCATTCTTAATTCCCTCTCCAGTCTCCACCATGATCATCTCAGCACATTTTCACTTCATTATCATCGCAATCAACTTGTACAATTGCATCCTTTTCCAGGCCACCCTGCTCATTGAATTGTCATCATCAAAGATACATAATGCAGGAGAATGTTTACGAGTAGAATAAAATGTGGCCAGCGTAGTGCATTTCCACCCTGAAATGGATCAAATAATGTGTCCATGACCCGCTGGTAGCTTGGCGCGACTTTATTTTCTTATACCGCCACCACATTTTCGAGTGACAGGGTGCTGGATTTGACCCTTTCGACCTTTGTCTAACAATTTTCTAGCCACTTGATGCTAGACTTGGCCTTTCACCGGCCTTTGTTCAATAATTTCCCTCCCAACATCTACTAGTCTTAACTGCACAGTTTTTACTTTTGTTGAGACTCGAATTCTTGACCTAGCTTGCTCGTAGCAAATGCCCAAATTTATTTCTTTATATTGTCACCATATTTTTTAGATACATATATGATATTGTACTTGACCCTTCAAACTTCAGCCAAACAATTTAATTTTCTAATAACCTGGTGCTGGACTTGACTCTTCCCTGGCATCTGCCCCTCCAACAAAGTGAAATAGCCAAAGACAGGTCTTAGCCATTTAAAGTGGCCACTTCCTTATCCATTGTCCTACCTTGTTGACCTTATATCTACTTTGGCCTTGCACTCACTATATATGCCACTTTATGTCAAAAAACACATATGATCAAACGCGTTTTTCACTATAAAAGTGTCTTACGATGTGAAAGTATATTGAAATCCTGGTACAGAAACTGGTGTGATTCCATCCATGCATGAATCTGAAGAATATAGTTTCGGTGAATATACCATATCCATATGTAGTTATTATAGATGCACATAATATAACCTCTGAGTTCTTAGGACTGAATAACAATTTTTATGCACTTATCTGATTATCTCTCCAATTCAAACAGGAAATGGAATCATCATATCAATTGTGAAGACCATTCAGTCGAGGTTAATCAAGTTTATACTAACTTATCAATTCAAAGAACTAAAATTTAGAGATAATCTCACAGGAAGAAGTACAGAAAGTCTAGTGGCTGGTAATAAATCATTGTATTCAGGGGCGTTTGGTTCACGAATGTTAGATTGTTGGGAATAAACCGGGTTAGCAAAATGGTTCGGTAACATATATTAAATAAAATAAATAAGACAAAGATAACATATATTAGTACATGATTTAAAAATACATAACTAAGAGATTGAACTTGAAAAACAAAATTGCTTTATAAGTTAACATGACGTAATAAGAAATAAAATGAAATATATAATTATAAAAAATAATTAAATATGATACATATAATAAGGTAACATAAAATATATATTTCATACTAATTAGAATTAAAAAGACAAAAATAGAGATTATGCAAAGAAATCTTACAAAACCTAAGTGATGTAAGGGAATTACATTCCTTTTAAAATCTAATGTAGAGGAAATACTTGAACCAAACATTAGAATGTGATATTGTGAATCTTACATTCCCTTAATTATGTTATATAACTTGAACCAAAAGATAATTACTAACGATTATGTGGAGTCAGTTTCATTAAGGATCGGATAAGGAATCAATAAACACAAAACACACAGAACTGAAATTAAGTTCAGCTGCCTCAGATAAGGAATCAATAAACACAAAACACATAGAACTGAAATTAAGTTCAGCTTCCTCGGATAAGGAATCAATAAACACAAAACAAGGAATCAATAATCACAAAACACACAGAACTGAAATTAAGTTCAGCTGCCTCAGATAAGGAATCAATAAACACAAAACACATAGAACTGAAATTAAGTTCAACTTCCTCGGATAAGGAATCAATAAACACAAAACACATAGAACTGAAATTGAGTTTAGCTGCCTCGGATAAGGAATCAATAAACACAAAACACATAAAAATAAAAATAAATTCAGCTGGCCCATACAAGTGTCAAACCTACAACCTTCACGTTATTAACACAACACTCTAACCAACTGAGCTAATAAGCCATATTGAATATGTTTCCTTATATTTATCATAAGAGTTAATCAGTCGAACATAAATGGAAGTACAGGCCTTCGGTGGTAGGTCATAGTGTATT